CGCGAGCGGAGAGTTTGTCTGACCTGGAGAACATGTCATGAACCAACACTACACAGCCAAAAACTCGGGGAGATGTATGAAAGAGAGGATATAGGAACAAAATGGAGAAAGGGACTTTATTATCAAGAGAGGAGGAGGGCATCCCATTAATAAGTAACATGCAGTATTAGATGGCATTCCCCCCAGTGATAGGACAGGAATTATTTGGGACACCAGGCAAAAGGCGTAGCCAGTTCACCAAGTGTACTATTTTTTCGTTTGCTATACAATTTTGTTGTGGTGTATGAGGACAGGTAGACTGATGTAAGATAATGGGAATCAGATGGCAGAAAGGAGGGATGAGAAATAGCTTTTGCAGATCAGTTCTCTAATATTTTGATTACTTGGACCAATTGATTCTTGATTTCATTCAAAAGGATGTTAAGATTAGCTAAAATTCAAACGATTTTTCATAAGATAAACCCTCAAGGTACATCTTGAATATCATCACTAAAGGTAAACAAAATATCTAAAACCAAAGGAGGAGATACGACTAGCGTCCCCATAATCAGAAGGATGTTGGAAAAAATAGAATTACCTATTGATTGAGACCTTTTAGGAAAGGAGATCTAACATGGTTTTCCTAATTGACATGACCACATTCTAGGTTGGAGACACTAAGTGCAGGACACATTTTTTAATTTGACAAATGCAGGATACCCAAGTCGATCATGCTAGCACTTTAGGATTAGGAGCACAAACAAGACCCCTTGGACGGATCCAAAATGGTATAATCCGCCAGCTTCATATCCTTCTCCAATCTGTCTCCCAGAAACCACGCCTCCTGTTATAACAAAATATTTATGATCAAAGTTATTGAACAATGTTAACATTTAGTCAAATGGCTTAAGGAAATTAAATGAAAAGGACAATTAGGGACAAAAGAGACGAGTGAGATTGAGGGAGGAGACAAACGAAACATGACCCGACTCCTTTGGAAGAAGTTTTAATCCTTTGAAAGGGTTATTGAAATGGATGTTATTTCTCGAAGGAAATAAGTTGAAACAAAGAGCTATTTAAGCACATGTGATCAGAAGCACTGAGTCAATTAAAACATGAATTTTGAAATGCCCTAGATTGAGAAAACAGACAGAGCTGTTGATGTATGTGGGAGATTGATGGTTGTGCCAAGCTGTTAGGACTTGTTAACCTTAAATCCTCTGTGATATCATCTCAAAACATAGAAGTGGAGGGTTTCAGTTTTTCGAAGTGGAAGTTTCGTCTTCGAAATATTGGGGTTTTGGAAGGAAACCAGTAAGGAGTAAGCAAGTCTTTGAGTCTGACCAATCTTTACCATATGTGCATTGAGTAGTCCCGACCTCCGCGTCCTCCTCCTCTAGTGCCACGTCTTCCTCTCCTCGTGTGAACACCCATGACAGATGGTTCCACTAGTTCATTCGCTTCTTGAGTTTGGATACCGGGACACGCCAGAAGGCGAGTGGTCAATTGTTTCCTAGAGGGAACCTCCTGCATAGTTAGAAGTTATCTCTGAGCTGATCAAATCGGATGTGGCACGCGGCTCACCCAACACCAGTGTAAACTTGTCTAGTTTCTTTTGATATCCTCTCAATGGATTACTTCCAAACACTTCCTACAGTTCTTCGACAGAGGCATTGGGCTTCCGCCAGAAGGACACCATATCAGTGGTCAGCCCATTTCGAGATGCACAGTGTTCGTAGTGTCATAAGAGACGTTGAATATCGTTGCATAAATGTTTTGGGCTTTCTCCCAAAGAGAAGAAGTGACAGCGTTTTGAAAGCCCTCAAAGAGACAAGTAGTTGGGTTCAGCGATTGCCATAACAGGGTAACCACTGGACATCTGCTTGTTTCCACTGAGCGCTTTTTCAATAGGCACATGGCTTCCATTCGCTCAGGTGGTCATAAATGCCCTGGCGAGCAACCACTTTCAAGCAGCAGACCATGATGAGTAATTTTTTCCAGTTTAGCTTCTCGGACGTAATGAGGACTCCAGAGAAAGGGAAAAAGACTGCCAGAAGCCATCTGAAGGAAGACAAATAGTAATAGCGAGGAACACAAAACCCTAAGGGTTTGACGCATGAAAGGTGATAGTGATGGACGACCGGTGGCGGCAACGGGCGGGCGGTGAAGGCGGCCGGCCGACGGACGACGGTGGCGGGCGAGGTGAACGGCAGCGCGGCGACGGACGACGGTGGCCGACGCGACCGGTGGCCGGAGTGGCCGGCGGCGCGACGGGCAGGCGGTTGAAGGTGGCGACGGGGCGGGCAGCGGCGGGGACGAAGAATGTGGCCGGCGGACAGGATATATATACGAGACAGCCCCACCAGAGCGGGATCGACCGCTCTGCAACCAACTTAAGCATTGAAAAGATACTTCTTGAGGGCTTAATTGATCCCCTCACAATCTTCTATTTAAGAATAATTGAATACACAACTACATGATAAATCAGGGTAACCTAGAAACACAATAATCATGATCAAATGGTACATCTAGAACAATATAATCATTGCATAATAGGGTACACCCTTGACACACTATCAATGATGATAGAATAGGATAAATATCTAACATGAGGAAAGTAATAAATGTGAAATAAGACCTATAGTAGTGATTAGGGTTTTTTTAAGTAGAGGCTTTGGGATATTTTATATGTTTGGGACAATGTTGTTTGGGAGTTGGTAGGGTAAAAGGAAAACACAGAAGTATCAAGGGTTAGAAAACAATCCAAGTAATGGGAGCTAACTAGTTACGTGATTTGTTTTTCTTTCATAGTTATCTTGTACTCAATTGCAGTTCTGATTATTATGACTTGATATTATTATTATGAAAATTATTTTATGGGTATCTGGAAATATTTGGTACACTGTGTTTATGATATTATGTGGGATGAAAAATTATTATTTTGTGTGGATTAAAATTGGTGTGCAGTAGTGGCAAGATATAAAATATATAAATGTGATTTAAGATTTTGGGGGATTTTGGCATTTACCATGAATTGTTTGGAAGTAGGCAGCTGCGGAATTTTATTTATTTGACTAATATATTGGCACATTTGCTGTTTTTATTTTGTATAAAAGTACTCTTGGTTTTGGTATTAATTCAATTCATAAGGCATATAAAAGTTAAAGTTTGATTGGTTTTGTGCATGCGTTTTATTAAGTATTTTTGTATGTAGAGTGATGAGCTTTTTATATATTGGGAGCAGAATATATATACGGGTTTTTGTTGCATACTATTAAGAAGTGAACTTTAAGTAAAACTCAACCCCACAAAATCGGTTTATAAGATGAAGTTTGCCCTCACATATATATATTCTAAATTGGTCTTATCTCAAATCAATGTGAGACTTTCAATACACACCTTACACGCCGAGATATATATATCTCGTGCGTAGAACTAAACATTAATGATGGTCCAATAGCGGATAGAATGATATGTCTAAAAACACAAATTTCGTTAGGATAGACTCTACTCCATGGCTTTGATACCAGAAGCAAAACTAATACATCATGTTTAAGGTTGACAATAACAAATAAAATCTGTTTGCAACTACCACTGTCTTAGAAAACCAACCTTTCTACCAGCCAGTTTTATCCCAATTTGAATCAAATCCAACTTTCAAGAAATTTTGGACTGGATATTCATCGGTTCCTGGTTAAACAAGTCAATCCGGTCCAATTCTAACAAATGTGATGCCAGACATCTTACCAATATTAAGGAAAAAAATAATAGAGTATAAACTAGGCCTTGTTCGACTAAATACAGATGTGAACATATTGTAGTGTAAAGCATGCAATGTAACAGAACATTGGTGATATATTGAGTTAAACATTTTAGATAAAATGAAGCATGGGCTGCTAATGAACAACTCATTAAGTTGTGGCATCCAATATGATCCCTTAATGTCTAGCTAAATTCACAAAAAGTATTAATCATGAAGTGGCAAACAGATAGAGAATACATGGGTGTTATTGGAAAGTTTCAAAAGGTACATTCTACAAAATGAATTCCAAAATAATAAAATAGGATTTGTAAGATGGCATAATTACGCTTAGTCTAACAGAAATATTCCAGTTAACTATTTTCCTTCCAATCAGCTCTCATTCATCAATCTCACTCTCATGCACAATCAAATTGCTTGATAAGCAAAAGGATAGGAAGCAGCAAGTAAGAATGACTAAAATATCATAATTAAGCGTAAAAATATTTGTATTTCAGGATCAGGTCTTAATCAAGGGAGCTCCGATCGTGGTATGTTCTGTGTGTAATGGGAAAATAATGCAAGAGATTACCATGCAGTTTCGAAAGGGTATAGTCACTCCCAGCCCAAGCCTAATTTCAGTATATCTTCTACACAACCTTCTTGGGTATATATTTTCTCTCCAACAAACCAACAAGCACTCCTCCCAGGCTCTACTGTGAGGTTGAAAGTTAGTTATCTCTTCTAAAACTGCATTCGTACACCACACTTTTTGCCTATCCGTAAACAGCCATTACTAAGTGATCTTCGGCTTTGAGGCCACATCACAAAACCATTCTTTTTAAAATAATAATTCAACTCTTCTGATGAGTGATGACTTGTGAAGTTATAAGCAGTAAATATTACTAAATCATGAGAAAAAAATTATAAATTAACAATAGATGAACATTTCACTTTTGACCTAACCCTCTCAATATCATTCCAAGAATGCGAAAGTTATGTGGGAGAACATTTTGAAGTAAGGTGAAGTTCAGAAGTTCAGAAGTTCAGAAGATAAATACGAAGAGATATGCTATATATATATACACACACACACACGCACACACACAAGCACACAGACACACACGCGCGCGCACACACACATACACACACACACACACACACACACACACACACACACACACACACATATATATATATATATATAGCTTTCTTGGGATAAAACAACAAAAATATTATCAAGGAACAGAACAGGCAATTTTATCTACAATGTTTAACTCTTCTTGAAAGAAGAGAAGATTGGAAATTGAACTTACGGGTTGTTCCAATCAGTTGTATCCTCATTGACAAGATGGGTCCATTTAGTTCTTCCACTACGACCAAAGTGCTTGACTTGCATAACCTTGGGTAATATTGTCTTGTCCATTTTATCCTCCCCAGTTGGAGCAGAGAAATCACGTGTGAAAATACCATCAGATCCAACAGTGGAAGCCCTATCGTCAGATTCAGACTGGAAGAAAGCTCCTTTGTGATAGTATTTCTGCATAAATCTCCACTTCTGCTTTGGTGGTGGAGCAGCTTTCGGATTCTTCCTTTCCCACTCCCTCCTCTCTTCCTCTGTCATGTTTCTCACCCGCTCAATCTCTTCTTTTTCCTTCAACATTGCCTCCCGATCCTCCCTATCCCTCTTGATCCTACCAATCTCCCTAACTTTCCAAGCCTCATACTCCTCAGCCTCATTGACTTCATCATCAGTATCCACATCAGCAATGTTGGCCTCCATTTCCAAGTTTTTCTGGATTTCTTCATCCTTTCGGATCTCCTCAACAACAATCTGCTTTGTCTCAATTCTTCTTTCCTCCAACCTCCTCTTCCTTGCATCTTCAAGTGCCTGTTCCTCAGCCTCAAGCCGCTCGCGCTCAGCAATGGTATCTCTCTCAGACTTGGGAACAAAAACAGGCTTCACCATAGCCACTCCAGTATATTCCTCATCAGAGTCAGTCTCATACTCAGATTCCTCCTCCTCCTCCTCCTCTTCCTCCTCCTCCTCCTCTTCCTGAGGTAGCGCCTCTTCCTGCTCTCTATGAAGCAACTTCTCTTTGATCAGCCTCCTTCTTTCTGCCAAAGCATTTTCATCTTCTTCTTCCAATTCCAACCCTTCCTGCCTCCTGGCCTCCTCTTCAATGGTGGAAACAATCTCAGCTTGCCGAATGCGGCGATGATCAGCCCTCACCTCCTCCCTGTTATCTATCCGACTCTCAGCCAATCGCCGGAGCCGGCGATCATCTTTTCTGACTATAGCAGTATCTTCCTCGTGACGAGGAAATACTTTCTCCAAGGCAGCTTCCCTGGAGGGTCTAATATCGGCAGCGGCAATGTCTTCATTCTCATCATCAGCCCATTCAGGAACTTTACCAGGCCAATAACGCTGAACTTTTGTTTGCCCAATTTTACCTCTCAGCTTATCCCTAATGGCTATTACAGTATCACTAACACCCGCTGTCACCGACATATTTCTTCCTCAATTGAACGCCACTACAAATACCAACAATCTAGTTTCGATTCACTTCTCCACCAAACCCTATTTTGCACGTAAAATAGGTAAAACATGTATACAGCAACAGAATTTTCCAGATAAAGTACAATTCCAAGAAAGTGAATAAATGAATGAAGGAACGCAGAAAAAAAGGATATGGTGAATGATAAATTTTGATTTGCGAAGAATTTGAAAGCGTAAACCAGAGAGTTCGATTCAAAATACTAACATGAATTGATAGATAACAGAAGAAGATACAGAAAATAGGGGCGATAAAAGTTTCAAATACTTACAGTCACAGAAGCGGAAACCCTCTTCCTCGTTTGAAGCAGCCCCCAATTTGTTCTGTGAAACTCTTATGAAATTGATTTGAAAAATCTGTAAATATTATTATTGTTCGGAAATTCATCTCAAAGTAAATAAACATTCAATACCCGAATTCTCAAACTAAAAATTCTATCTCCATCTTCATTTCTATACTCTAAAATATAAGATTTCATGCATATCTCAAAATAATAAATATTTAAATAATATTATAATGATATAAATTTTAAATTAGAATATCAAATAACAATTTAATAAAACTGAAAAAATACTAAATAATAATGGAATAAAATTCAAAGAGTCCTTTATCAATTTTACAAACATTAAATAAAATCGATAAAATTAAAAGGTATCTTTTTTTAAAAAAAAAATGAATAACTAAATAAATATTCAAGTCACTAGAAGACAATTTACAAGAACTTTGAGTACTGCATTTTAATCAGTTTATTTTATTGGTATACCCTAATCTCGTAACTGTATTGTATTTATTGAATGTGGAAATTTCTGTCAAGTTCAAACAATTGCACATGGACGACTTCATGTATTATCTCCAAATTACAGGATTGACAATTTGGTGAAATTAAAAGTAAATTAAAGTTATTATAGTAATTATGTATATACTGTATAAATTTAATATTTTGACAAAATACAGTCAAGTAAACTTCTTGTTTTTGTTTCATGGACTGATATTATGTAAGAGTGTTATTTTTTTTAGTGAAATTAATATTTTATCTTTTTGCATATTATTAATTCGTATTTTAGTTTGTATTTGTACTATATGAAATATACCGATTGGAGCTATTGGAGCTAATGGTGATTTATGAATGGTTAGCCGGTATTAATAGGTCAGATTGTCGTACACTTCACAAATACCGTATTAATAATTGATTATTGAGTTTGATTGCCTAAATGTGATTGGCTGCCACAAGCCCTATAAATATACGATTTAGGTTCAGGTAAAATAACATTGATCTATCCTAATAAAATAAATACATCTTTGAAAAAAGATATCTGACTTGAGTGTGAGAGTGTCTTCTATAAGTCAACAACACATCGGAGTGCACTGCGTTCTCGGAGAGGATTGGACGATCGAAAGAGAGAAAAGTAAGGAAGGACGATAGACCCTCAGACCAATTCAACCGAAACATTTGTCGTCCACCGTGGGCCCAAGCGGCATCCCCATGAAACCACAAGAAACCAGATGAGCGCTTGGTCTCGACATCGCTACTTTGGATCAATACTAGGTTTTGTACAAGAGCAAAAAATTCCATAATAATTTCTAAAGGCATGTCTTTTGTTTTGAGAACTTTCAGACAAGGCAAAAAATTAAATGCCTCCGCAAAATAGAAGATTATAAAATATTAAATATTTTGTTTTACCCAAGAATATTTTTGTTTTTGTGAGTAAAAATATCCTAGAGAGGAAGGTTCAATCCTTTACCACTTGGTCAGTTGGACCAGCAAAGTTCAACCTTGTCCGGTTGTAATGGTTTCTCATTATAAAAATAAAATATTGAATATTTTACTTAACGCATATTTTTGTGAGTAAAAATATCCTGCACAGGAAGGTTCAATCTCTTACAGCTTGGTTAGTTGGACCACCAACTTTCAACCTTATCACGTTCTAATCGCTTCTCATAATAAAAATAAAATATTCAATATTTTGTTTAACACATATTTTTGTGAGTGAAATATCTTGCACAGGAAAAAGTTCCAAACTGAACTCCTAGCATCTACTACTCAACACAGGAAAAAGTTCCAAAAAGAGCTTCTAGCATTCTCTGCTCAACATAGAAAAAAGTTCTAAAAAGGGAACTCCTAACAGTCGCCACTCGGCCTAGAGAAAAAGTTTTAAAAAGAACTTCTAGTGCCTCTACTTAACATAGGAAAAAGTTCTAGAAAAAGAACTCCTAGCACTCGCCGCTCGGCCTAGAGAAAAAGTTTCAAAAAGAACTTCTAGTGCCTCTGCTCAACATAGGAAAAAGTTATAGAAAAAGAACTCCTTTCGGTCGCCACTCGACCTAGAGAAAAAGTTCCAAAAAGATCTTCTAGTGCCTCTACTTAACATAGGAAAAAGTTCTAGAAAAAGAACTCCTATCAATCGTCGCTCGGCCTAAAAAAAGTTCTAAATAGAATTCCTAGCGTCTACAACTCAACCTAGGAAAAAGTTCCAAAGAGAACTCGTAGTATGTACTATATGGAATATATCGATCAGAGCTAATGGTCATTTATGGGCTTTTAGCCGGTATTATTGGGTCAAATTGCCTTACGCTTTACAAATATACGGTAATAATAATTGATTATTGGGTTTGATTGCGCGTTAATGGTTAATCAATGCGTTTCGTTGCCACAAGCCCTATAAATTTACAATTGATGTGCAGGTAAAATAATTTTGATCTATCTTAATAAAAAATGACCTCTTTGAAAAGGATATCTGACTTGAGCGTCGGAGTGTCTTTTGTCGTTCAAAAACCCGTAAGAGTGGATTGCGTTCTAGGAGAGGATTAGATGATCAAAAGAGAGCAGACAAGAAAGAACGACCGACCTTCGGACAAATTCAACCGAAACATTTTGACCATTAACTCTGATCGATATATTTTATATAGTACAATATTGTTATATAATATAAATTTATCTTTATATAGTTTATTTTTTATTTTAAATAAATATACTTTTATTCGATATGGTATTATTAAGATACGAATAAAAATTTAAAATATCCAAACTACTCGGTTAAACAACATAAAGCTATAATAAATAATTTAAATAATAATATAAGATTAACTTTAATTATTGATTGTATTCTTAAAAATATATTGAGAAAGAGATAAAATCATTTAAATAATTATAGTAAACCATATTGTCTCTTATCATAATAAAATAAATATTTTTAAATTAAAAAATAATAAACTACTTTGAATACATATTTTTTTAATTATAATAAGTTTTCAAAGTTTTACGTTCTCTCCACAAATAAATATTTTCGTCTTTGACAATGAAATTTCTAGTTTTTTCTCCTAAAACCTCATTAAATTCTAAAATACCAAAACTTTCCAAAATAAAATTTATCTATAATGCATAAAACTTTATCTGAACACCAAACTCTAACACTCGTCCTTCTGACTTTAAAACTCTAAAAGTGAATCTAAAACTCTTTCACAAATAATATTCACGTACCAAATATTCACACAAATATCTATATTATAAACCAAATTACCTTTTAAACTCAACAATTAGAACACAAACAACTAATACAAAGTAGATAGACAACAACATATTTAGATTCTAATAAATGATGCACAAGATATACAATAAGCTCACTCGCCATATCCTTAGGATACAAGATCCTGGAAAAAAAAAACTATTTTTTAGTGGAGATTTATTTTTCATTTTGGGGAGGTTTTTACTCTTAGCAAATTAATTTCTAGGGATTTTTCAAACACCCGGAATTAGAGTTATAGCTATTAATTTGCAGAGGTTTTTAATGGCCCTACGTATCCGATTTATATGGTAGAGGTCTTTTTATGGAGAATTTTAATCTCTTCTGTTGCTGACTTATTTTGTAGAGTTTTGAAACCTCCTTTATTTATAATTACACACATAAATTTATAATTTCTTAATTTAATAAAATCTATTTTTTATAATAAGAATAAATAAAATATATAAAATTATAAAGTACACAAAGAGATTAATCAAAATTAATTTTATTGATGATTTAAGATAAAATATATCATTTACAATTACAATATAAATATAAAAAAATACATAATGTAAATATAAAAAAATACATAAGGTTGATGAACTAAGCAAAATTCCTAACAAAGATAAAAATTTAACATTAATAACTTTGCCATTTGAAAGTTAAACTTCAATGAAACCTCCATATATACTTTAAACACTTGGATGTCTCTATTAATCTTCTTTGAAGTGTTCTTTTCTCAATGATACCAACACTTGAAAACTTTTATTTTAGGCTTCCACATATCAAAGTGTGTTAGACTTGGAAATGGCAAACAAAATAGGATGATGAGTTTCTTAATAATACAAATTCTAGGAACCATTGTCGTGATGACTCAGGCGGAAGGCAAGTATTTGTCATCTTCTAGTAACGAAACGACAGTTTGCATATGCAAAGCAGAAAACAAAATGATATCAGTTGAAATTGTTAATGCATGCATATTATGACTATTTAACCAAACTAAATTACTTAAAGCAATCCATGTCATGGAGTTCAATAAATAATATTTATTTTGTTAATTATTATTATTATTAAATCAATGACCAATGTTCGACAAAGTGAGGGTCACAGTCGTGAAAATAAATTGCTCATTTTGAAAGCAATAATAGAGTTGGCCAATCAAAAATCAGCAAAACAAGGGCCTCATGCTCTGTCTAAGCTGGCGATTCAAGCTCCAAGATTAGAGTATGATATAAAATTGGACCTACAAGGAAAATCATCATCATCATCATGAGCATTTAAACTGATCACGTTGCAGCGATAATCAATCACTCTAGTTCAACATAGAAATTGATTTAAAATGACAACACTTTTCTAGTCACATAAACAGTGAAGCAAGCAGAAAAAATAGGTGAAATAATAGTCATATATAGCATGACTGTTATGTCAAGCACATCACAGAATTCCAATAACCTCTCCTTATTACACTTGTCAAGTTTTTCTTTTACTTTAATCATTTGTTTTTCCTACAATAACGATTTTTGGACTTTAGAACCTTTTACAGACTTGGATATTTTTATACAGTGATCATAGTCCAAAAATTCAAAGCTTTAAGTGTTGAATCAAGTTCTATTGATATTTGAGTCATCCAGCGTCACAAACAAGCTTAATATCAAACATAGAAATTTAAAATTTCACATGATTTTTCCAAGAATTGGTAATTGACTTAATAAATAACATCCACATGATTACAAATTATTCAGACCCCACTTGAAAAAGAGAGATTAGTAATTGGACCTAAAATCGCACTTAAATCAAGTAAACTTCTAATATGCATTAATGGAAAAATAGAAATAGATCAAAATACAATTCAATACAATAACAGATGATGAATATGAGAAAGGACTTCAAAGCACCAACGCAATT